TTTTTTTAATACATTGGTTTTCACTACTTTGGCCATTATAAAATAAATATGTTTTGTAAAAGTGTGATGAATCTCGCGGGCCGAAAAAATGTTCAAGGCGGGCCACATGCGGCCCGCGGGCCGCGGGTTGGTCACCCCTGGGGTAGTGTAATGAAACTGACCTGGGTCCGGTGGTTCGATGACGAAGTGATTTTGGCTTTTCGTATACAGAGGGAGACGCGAAGAACACGTGTCACAGCTAAGATAATGAGAAATCATTTTCTGGCCTCAGTTCGTGACAATCGCCTGTGACAGTAGACGTCAGAACAGCGCGTTCATTTTAATTAAAAACACCGCGAGTAAAAACACGGATTCCTGGTTTATAAAACTGCTTGAAATTGGCGTGTCAGTGACGTCAGAGCCGGCGGGTGTGCAGAGGGAAAACCACGGTTCTCCTGTCCTTTAAAAAAGGGAATAATGGTTAAAAAATATCAGCTAGACTTCGTGACGTTAGATTTTTCTTACCAACTCGCAAACTGAGAAGGATGCTTCAATGCAGTTTCAGTGTTGAAAAACTGCGATGGGTTTTAACTACAAGACACGCATCTCTTGGGAATAAGCTGATGAAGTTCTTTCAAAGATATGCAAAGTGAAGCTTTCGCGGCGACTGAATTTGATGAAGGACTCTCGGGTTACAAACCCTTCAGTGAGCGCGCTACAAAGGATCCGATTTGTTATGCAGCAGCCCTGAGGATGGCAGCAGAGATGGCTCTCGAAACGTTGGCGGAAGAAATGGTTTATTCACCATTCAGCCGCTTGACGCGGCTTGTAACCCGAGAGTCTTTGTTTCTAAGAAACTTGTTGGGATGCTGAAATGGCTGAACCACAGTCTTTACTTAGAGGAAAAAAATACTGCCTTATTTGCGTACTGATATTTAATTTAAAAAAATTAAACGCCTTGTACCATAGCAGATACATTTCCGCTTCTGGCATCCATCAAAATGCGTGGAGTTGTGGTTGATGAAAATGATATTCCGTCACTTGAAAGCAGTTCCTCTTTTTAATAATATCGACGAATCAACTGTGATTGTCAGATAGTTATTGTGTCAGTGTGGCAACAGTGCAGCGTCTCATGCCAACTCTGAACGCACCCGCCATGGTTCGTGCTTTCAACTATAGGTGACTCCATTTATCTACTGAACGTGGAGATAAGATCGATACTTGATCTACTGGAAATCTCTTGGGGGGGGGGAGAAAACATTCCGTTGTAATTCACAGACGGAGGTACGACGTCAGACGAACGACTCGTTCTCAGCCGAGATCCAAACCACTTTCTCTGGCAGAGGGTTACTCCCGCAATTGCAAATGAGGTCGTCAAGTGTTTGACTGAAAAGTTGGGTCTCCCTATCGACAACTGTGTGGCCTTTTGTTCTGATTGGCGCTTCAACTTTGCGAGGCGAAAATGTTGTGGAAAATTATGCTGATTTGTATAAATTATGAACATGTGATGACTGTGATTGGTTTCAGTTGTAAACTTTATTCGTTCTGGGGGGCGCTGACACACAAGATTACAGCGAACTAAGGTTATTTGCTGAATCATGCGAAGTTCGTCTTTTCGGCAGTGCAAGACAGTTGCAACGTTTTATAAAGCTAGAGGACGAATTTGTTCAGTTCTTGGAAAATTGTCCAAGAAAGTTCTCATGGCTCTTCGACGATAAATGGGACATTTACAACAAAAGGTTCGTGACTATGATAAATAAATTGCAGACAAGAAGTGTAACGTGTCTCATTAATCAGAAGTAAACATAAAAGATTTGACGGTTTAGCCATTATTATGTGTTTCATTAATGTTACACAAGGTTACTAAATTAACAACTTATTTTCGTTGAGTTGTAACCTCAAAAATCATTTTCTTTTTACAGCTCAGTTACACCATTTTAAGTTGAAGTTTAAAAATTAAGTACTTTGGCTTCTGAGTTACATTTATCTTATTTTCTGACCTACAATCTTGAAAGTTACCAGACCTATCATAACATTAAAATTTATAATAATCATAGTATTAATAACGATTTGTTAGTTAGTGAATTTGCACACTTACAAATTGAAATAATAAAATAATGCAGGGGCTGTATTATGTAATTAACGTAACAATTAATATAACGCATTGATATATTTATTTACACATTTTAATACATAACGTTCGCATACGTTTAACTAATGTCTCCCCCTGCGTCGGGAGGTCCGTCCGGTGGCAAACATAGTTCGCGAACCTCAAGGCCCGACCCGACGTGAGATGAGTCGCGTTCAGGAGGCAAACTTCGACTCCGTGGTCACCGAGGAACTGTTCCAGCCCCAGCTACCTGCCGCGAACACCGTCGGCGTTCCAATAAACCAGCCGCAAAACCTTACCACCGTGTCTCCTAGGCCGTGCAGTCATACTCGGCTACGAAGAGGATAACGGTTTTGAGGACGTCCCGCGGACGGGCCTCCCCGGATGGGAAGGAAGGGGCCGCGCCGAGTAGACGGCGTATCTACTCGTCGCAGGCCTGGGTCGGGAGGTTCTCCAGGAGATCTGAGATGCCCTGGAGCGGGGACTGACCCTTAGGTGGGGCGGGGACAGTCTTCTTGGGAGCGGGTGCGGCGGGATACCCCACCGGCACTACAGGACGAGCGGGCTTAGCATTGCCGTCCTTAGGCACAGCCTGCCGCTCAGTCCGTGCAATAGCGCCGGACGGCGTTGAGGCGGGGTTCTTCGCAGCCTTAGCTTTGACGACGCGGCCACCACGGACCACGTGGTTCCAGCCAGGGCCCAGGTTCTCCTGGCTTAGCTGGCGCCGACGAGGGCGCTGGCAGGCGCGTGGAGTCGCCGTCCTCCCCTCTCGCAAGCTTTGCAGCGGCCGCCTTGGCCTTTAAACTTACTGCAACCTCTATAGTTTGCAGTGTGGTCCCCGCAGGCCACGCACATGGGTGCATAGCCGCAGTTCCGCTGCGTGTGCCCGAAGCGTTGGCACCGCTTGCACTGCATGGGCCCCTTCGGTGACCCGCAGGCCGCAGATCTTGGTTACAGCACGCACCTTTCCCACGTCGGGGCCCCGTGCTACCGACACAATAAAGTGAGGGGACGGTCACCGTCCTGGTCCATGACCCGGCGCATCAATCGGAGTTGAATGACCCCCTGCATGTCAATGTGCATGGCAGCCAGCTCCTCGCGGATCTCAGCCTCGGGTATGCGCGCGCCCAAATTTTTAATTAACAGTTGCACGCACCGATCCTCGGGAAGAGAGAATGTTGTGAAAACTCACACCCTCGCTCTCACCGAGGGATCGCAGCACCCTGACAGTGGCCCGGAATCCGTCGTCGTATCAGGCACCAGAGTCACGATGTCTCCCTTCATCCGGGCCACGATCCCGCAGGCCGACTCCGCGCGAATCCTCTTCAGGAAGCCGCTGATTTTCCCAATCAAATTTTTTTTTACGTTTCTTGGCATTTAGCACTTAGCACTTAAACGAACCGTTCTTCAGTTTGCGCGCAGGCCCGGGTCATTTAAATGCTAAGTTCTAGTGCTAAGAAACATAAGAAAACATCCGAACAGGCTACCAATCGGATTGTTTTAGGAGTAATCGCTTGCATTCGGTAAGTTCTTGATGACACAAATCGACAGCAAGCATCTAAAAACATTCATGTTTGGCAACTGGTACCTGGAATTTGAAATATTAAAAGTGAAAACAAACCCTACTTCATCATCCATCAGTATTATCTGCACTCGCACTCAAGACAATTTTTATCACATTTCACTGACACAGTTACAGAAAATATGTAGCTCAGCATGAGATGATGTAACTCACGAAGGAATGCGTCTTCTACCATAAATAATTTATTTAATATAAATTTAATAGAAATGTAATTTGAATGTCAGTGCATTTATGTAAATAAATTATCCATTTTCTTAAAAATACATATACTCCTTCTTTTGGGATTCTAAAATATCAGAGATTTCGGTGTAGAATAAGTATAAAAGAATTGTCTTTGTGAGACGTAAAACGTGTTGTCCTAAAACTATACATGTCTGATGGGCTGGCTCTGTCTTTGGGTCGAATGGAAAACTGCTTTAAGCTAAAAGCACAGGCTTCCACCGAAATGTCGTTGCTTATAATTTGTTTCCAGACAACCTTAACAAATAATCCCCCAATCGGAATTCGATGCACGAATTTATTACATCAAAGTGGAGGGAGAGGTTATGACTATTTTAAAACGCTGTCAAATGTCTTGTGTTCTGTGCTATCAGCGTTTGATACACTCCATTAGGCCATTACCTTATTTCATATTAATAAATTTAATCACACACTTTCTTTGGAGAGATAAGCGTGCCTTGTTTGAGACATGCGCCCATGACATTATTTCCTTCTTTTGGAAATATATTTTCAAATTTTTTTCTGTCCCACCAAAAATAGTTCTAGAGAGGTTCTGCTGGACGTAAAACAGACAAAAACCAAAATCAAATGAATTTCTGTTGGATTTATGGCTCTTCAACAGTTGAGTATGAAGAAAGCTGTCTTCTGGGATATTTTTGGAGCTCCTTACTCACTCCGTCAACAGATGGCACGAGACTGCATGGTCAAACACACCAATAGACAGCCTTTTCCAAATAAACATCCATCAAAAATTAGAACATGAGACGGATAGGCGTCGTTAAACCTGAAACTGGCCTAACACTTTGATGAAAGCGAAAGATTATGGCGATGCTGATGTGCTGAACGCCAGAAACTTCTTGCCCAAGAGAGTACCACTCATCAAAGAAACTTAGTCAAAGGGCTTCTTATTCATGCAGTTACAGCTTACGTCTGATTAGCATTACCTAGTCACTTGCGCTCTGTTTTAACGATTCAGCTTGACCGCAACATCGCCCTGTCTGCTTTCATTCTACCCCTTCCTCTCACCCATTTTTCGCGCGTTGTATTCAGGGCCCTGAGTTAGCAGCAAGAACCTCCGAAACGTCGGTCAGTTTCTACGACACTACACGGTGCAGCATCCACAAGATCGCGGTTATGTCGACCGGAAATGATTCACTTCCTAGTGCTTTTAGAAAGTAACAGTTTGTGATTATACAGTCCTGAACAATCAAACAAAGAAACAAACCATCGATTTTCCTTGTCATTGAAACATTTGACACCGAAGTTGTTCGCTTCGTAATATCCGCCGATGACGAAGATCTTATCGTTCATCACTTCTGCGTTTAAGTCACTTGAATAGGCGTCCATGCTAGGGATCTTGGTCCACTTGTTTTCTGTAGGGTCATACTTTTCGGTACTGAGCTCGGATGATGTCGTGTTGTGTCCTCCTGCACATACACACCCATACATTCCGTAATAATTCACAGTATATAAAAAAAGCTGCCAAACGAAACTTATTCTAACCCCTTCTTGATATTTGTATCTCTGTCACATGGCCACGAAATGTTTGGCCTTTATAGAGCCACAAGATTCATTACCTTACTCACAAAAGTCGGCAGTTGAACTCTTCTCACATACTCTATTTTCTAATCTAGTTCCTTAAAACATTTTAATATTATCCTTCCTTTCAAGGCTATATATCACAAGTGGTATCTTTCCTTCAACATTACCAATTACAACTTTCTAGATGTTTGTATTTCTCATAACTTCAATGCTTCACACTCCGCTCGTCTTACCCCACGGACTTTACACTCTTAAAATTCGTAATTCCGTAAACGGAACGAATGAATGGAATACAACGAAGAAAATTCATTCCCTCTTGCAGTGTTAATATTAGTACGAGGAACGAAATAAAGGATGAAATAGCTACAACATTATTTTCGTACTTGTAGCATCTGGAAATTGCGCCTGACATCTGTTTTCTGCTTCATGAAACTGCGTGCGAAAATAACGACCAAGAATAGACACAAGATACACTGTTAAAAACGACGTTACACAAAAAAGTGAAGAAAAGCAAAGAATGCGAAGGGACTGCTTTAAACCATCGGCTTTTTGGGGGATAACAGCACGGCAAACTGAAATGTCCTTGCTACAACTGGGACTGTGACAAATGGGGCATACGTTACTTGAGATACCACAAGAGATTATGCGTTGTTAGTTAGTTAGTAAGTAAGTTAAGTGTTCTTTGTGGAGAATGTAATCGAAACCACGAATCAGGGTTAAAATTACTGACAAACTAACTCTGAAATGACAGGGGAAAAATGTTGTTCATAAAATCTCAGTGACTCGAAGAAAACCAGGAAAACATTTCACAATAGCAAGTTTTGTAAGAAAGATAGAGGGGCATCACTCAAAATGTTCAGAGTTCTCACCTAGAGCGTACAGACAGGCGTTGAAGGCGACGAAAGAAAAATTGGCACGTCCAGTAATCATTGGTGCAACGAACGTCCATCGGTTGGTGTCCGGGTGATAAACTTCCACCGAGTCTAGGACATTGTAACCATCACATCCACCAGCGAAGTATATTTTGTCTGTAAAAACAAATTAGGTATATCACACGAACTGTACACATATTTGGTGTAGGCAGAGGCTTTAAACTGGTCCCTGCAGAGCACAGACATGGGACAATTCGTACTTAAATATTGTATTTAATGTCCCCCTTCGTGTCATAGCAACTGTACGGACACGGCTGTCTCTGTTCATCTGTTTCTTTGTTTCGAATGCAGCGTGTCAAAGAAAAAGAGTGTAACTGATAAAATTTAATATAAACAGCATAAAGTGCTTAAATTAATGCATAATGGAAATGATGGTAAGTTATATCCTCTGTGAAATGAATTTTACCTTACCTTACCAGAGATGTACGGTACGAACTGCCAAGCGGTGCTCTACATTTATAATAAAATTAGCTATTTACATGAGATCATTAACTTCCTCAAGAACATATTACATCCGTATTATATGAGAGCCAGTTTGATAGTTTGATGGTTGTTTACACTCACTCCTAGTGTACATTAAAAAGGCAGAACACGATGCACAGGGACAGCTTGCAAGAGCAGAAGAAACCATCACGCACTCAGAACTTCAAGCCGTTGCAGTCTATGAAATAACGTAGTACGTAGCACGGATAAAAGAAAGAGATAATAAATGAATATGGGACAATGGAGGAGGGGAAACTAAAATCAAGAGCGAAGGGGAATGCCTTCATGACGAAGGCCGTCTTCGTATTCGCCACAGCAAGAACCTCAAATCCTGTGATCCCGTCAACTGTTTTCGTGTTGTTACACGCGGACAGACCGACAGACAGGCCTTCTGCACTAATTCACAAATTCCTATTTCACGGCATTTACGTACCATTCAGCAAAGCAGCACATGCATTGGATCGCGCTGTATTCATGGGAGCGATCCACGACCACTGGTTCGTCTTGCTGTCGTATCTTTCAGCCGTTCTGTGATCCCGATGTTCATCGAAACCGCCCATGGCGTACACTGCACCTCGCAGAACTGCCACACTTAAATTGCGTCTGAAACGATAAAAGTACAGACTCTGCTGTGCTCATTTATTGCTGATTAAGATGCATTTCCTCTCGCAGAACGCAATTGTTCGCTCGTCATTGTTAAATCATAATTTAAATGAATTAACAAGCAAGTCGTATTCTTAAAACCAACACTGTCGCAAAAGTCCTCTTGTATGTAAGTGGTACAATTTTACAGCCCCTGCCCACATTTATATTTTGACTAACGGAGCGACTATCAGCTTTTGAAGAAGGACTCTGTTTCAAGGAGTTCCTTAGTTACCGATATGCATCTTACCTCCGGACATTCATAGGCGCCACCTCGCGACATTTCTTCGTAACAGCGTTGAAGCAGTGACATGAGCTTAAATATTCAGAGCCGTCGGTACCACCGATGACGTA